ATCAGACAAGTCCTAACAGTGCTTTTTCCTTTGCCTGTCAAGATCAAGTACAGCAAGTCAGCAGGAAGAGGTACTGCCTGAGAGAATGTCGGGGGAAGCCAAGCTTCTGGGGACACAGCTTTAACCACCGAATCATTTGTCCCTTCCTGGGGTGTTCACTGAGCATCAGAGGTCAGGACTGCATCAACTTTTAGTATTTTGATGGGAATTTTAAAATAGAACTGTTTAAAAGGTGATGCTTTCAAATTGCTTTAAAAAAAAAAAGTCCTAAACTTGACTTACAAAAATATTTCCTAATGATGAGATGTGAATTATAATCTAACTGATATAGTTAATATTCTTTTGGGACCACTTGATAAAAAAAAATTGTTACACAGATTTGTTAAATGGTTCCTGGGTGAGGTAAGAAGTTACTTTAAAATTCTGACTAGTCTCCCAGATAATTAATAAGCGAGTACTCAATGGTACTACAAAGATTTTGTTAGGTCTTATGACCTAATGGCCATTTAGTTTAAAAAAAAATTAGACTACTTCACCTATATCCTTAATCTCATGGATAAAATAAGACTCTTAAAACATCTCATTTAGATAAGAAAATGAAACACATATTTAAAGTAGACCTGACATTTATAAGCACCTGATTTAAATGAATTTTGCCCAAACATACTCCATAAGAGGCACTTCAAATTGGCACCACCATATCTGCTACAGGGTGGAAGGGCTTTCTGCTTTTTAAAAAGCACACTATGATATTGTTAAGCAAATAAAATTAGGCATCCAGCTGTTAACAGCAATGCTATTTGTTCAATCAATGTTTGATTAGGGCACACTGCCTTTAGGCAGAAGGAACAAAATGACAAGACTGTCCCTGACCTTTTCCATCACTCCACAGTCTGGTAGAGGAAGTAGATTAAAAAAAAAAATTACCAAATAATTACAAATTGTAATTACTGCTCTGAAGGGAAAAGCACAAATTGGAAGTAGTGGACACGCCTGTAGTCTCAGCCACTCTGGAAGCTACAGTAGGGAGGGGGATCATAAATTCAAGGTGAGTATGGGAAACTTAGTGAGACTTTCCTAAAAATAAAGAAAAAAACAGAGTAGGGATATAGCTCAGTGAGACAGCACCCCTGGATTCAATCCCCAGAAGAGAGAGACGAGGAAGAGGTATGTGAAGAGAGAGAAATAACATAAGGGACAGGGCACTAACTACTTTAGGGAGTCAGGAGAGGATTCCATAAGGAAGTGACATTTAAACACAGCCTGAAGGACATAAGGAGTCATACCAACTAGAGAAGGAGGGAATAACATTGCTGGCAGAGGGTAAAGTCCTGAAAGGAGTTTGGTCTGCTTGAGTGATTAGAAGGAGGATGATATCTCTAGGATCCAAAATGTACTAAGTTTGAAGAGGGGACTATGTCAGGATAAGAATTTGAGAGGGTTTTTGGGCAAAGGAGTGAGGGACACAGTCTGATATATATCTTGGAAAAGTGACTCTGGCTTCCAGATGGAGCACTAGTGGGAGCAGGGGAGAGGAAATGCAGAAATCAGAAAGCCTATAATCTTGTTTAAGTGAGATAGTGACTTGGGGGTTCCAGTGGGAAGGACAGAAAGGAACACATTCAGGGTACTCTTAGAAGGTGAAAAAAACAGACATGGAGGTGGAAAGAGTGTGGGTGTGAGGGATGGTGAGTGAACCCAAAGAGGAGGAGGATTCAGATTTCAGGCTGGTGTAGCTGAGGAATTGGGGAAGACCAGTGGAGAAACACATTTAGAGAAAGAAGTCCATTCTTTTAAGTGTATGCACCAGTCCCCTAGTGACTAGAATAATCTAGATCTCCATTTAGCATTTCTTTTAAAAGATTGATATGTAGCAGAAAACTACTACCTAAATCAGGCCCAGGTGTACATGTGTGTATATATCTGTGTGTATAAAAATATATATTAAGAAATATTTATATATAAAGGATATATATTATATACATATAGAGTCAATCTGACATAATCAACCAAATTTGTAATTGACCTGGACGGTTTGGGGATCAGGAACTAAGAGGTCTTATCTCAATGATATAGTTTTTACCAGATTGTGTTTTTTTTAGGTTTGTCTGTTTATTTACTTTGTATTTATATTTGGTGTAAAGAACCCTAGAGCCTTGGTATTGTCACTCACTATGAAATCAGAGAAGAGATAGTACTGTTGAAAAAAAAAAAAAGTGCCTTTTCCATGTTATTTTATGCATGGCTTATCTTTCCAATAGTGCAATTAGTTTAGGAAAAGAACAATTAAAGATGGAACAGTGAAAACCAAGTGCCCAGTCCAAGGTTACAAACTATTTGATTCGTCCTTTCCCTGAGGAATCATTTCTAGGCTCACTGACCAGTCATTATTCTGTTGAACAGTGGCAGCCCTGTATTCCTTTGCTTATTCCCACAGCAAAATTTGGCTCTGGGGTTTGAAGAGTTTATGTTTATTGGATTTTAATGACTTAGTTAACAAAAGTCATTCCTAAAAGTAATGGAAAATCAAGGGTGTGGAAACAGAATGGATGTGACTGGCTTCAGGGTTATCTCTAGCATTTCCTTGGTGTCTTTAAGTGATTCATCCTTAAAAGCAATTAAGAAGGATCTTTCCTCTTCATCAATTTACTAATGGTACATTCAACTACTATTGTAAAATGTTATTTGAAACCCTCAATAACTAAAGGTTCTATGTAAATGCCAACCTTAAAATATGTTCCATGAGGCAAGTATAATAATGTAACAACAGTACAATTATAGTATAATTGTAACCATGTTCACAGTGCTTCCATTATGTTTGACAGAATGAAATAACTTCAGTCTCAGGTAGAATCTAGTTGGATATAAACAGTGAAGTTAAAAGGGACATTAGAGATAATTTAATATTGTCCTTTTAAATAATTTACTGTGAATGACTTAGTAAATATTTACCCCAAATGGTGTTTATTATACTGGGAAAGAATTTCCTAAGTGGTGGTTATTTGAATTATTTGAAATTAAATTAATTAGCATTAAAAATATGTGAAAAGGAATAAATCTAGCCATTTCCTAGGCATAAATTACTTAACAAGGGCTGGAAATGTAGCTCAGTGGTAAAGGAGCCCTGGGTTCAATCCCCAGTACCAAAATAAATATTTTCCACCTAAAAATTCCATGAAATGAGATAATGCTGTGTACTTCATATCTGAATTAAATTTCTCATATAATTTTACAAAGCCTTCCTGATCTGCATCCTGCTCACTTTTCCAGCATCACCACTCCCTCCTCCCAGCATCCAATCCTTTTTTTTCTCTTCTCTCAACCAACACTCCTCCACCCCTCCCACCCCCAGGCACCCCCAAAGCTGCAGCTCTACTAATCTCCCTACTCTGAGTTTCCAAGCCCTGCTACTCTCTCAGGTCTCAGGGTCTCTCTATGCACAAGGGATTTCCTCTGTCTGGACTCCCTTTCCCTCATTCTGCAAGCCTGGTTTTGCTTCCTACAGGGAGCCTTCTGTTCATCTCAGACCCCAGTAGTTCTTGAGCAAGTCTCTGCTTAGTTTTCCTGTGATGATCATTCAATCCCCAATCCTAAAATAGAGCTGTATCCTATTAGGAACTATGCATTAATGAATGGATAAAGACAGTGAGCACTGGAGATTTTGAGATTTATAGTTTGCACGTTTAAACAATAACATAAACCTGAAGAAATAAGGCTGCTCTTTTTTAAGTTAATTTCATTTCAAATTATTTTCTTCTCCAAGGAGAGAAGATACATAGCCTAGCATCTGTTTTGACAGAGAAAAATGTTAGCATTGCTTATGCTTAACTTCCTTCAGTAGGTTAGATACAATGTAGAATTCAAAAAGTTACAAATGTAATATTGTATAAAAATCCTATCAACTCTAGCTAGCCATAACTCCCAACTTGTAAGCTTTCTCCTTAGCAAATGAGTTAAAATAAAGGAAAAGGTTTTTAAAACTTTCTTATTGGAAATAAACGACCCTTTAAAAATATCAGCATAGCCCCCAAAGAATTTTAGATTTGGTCTGAATACTTAATTTCTGTAATTGTTCAAGAAAAGAAGACTTGGTTTTGAGAGTCAAAACTGCATTTTTGTATAAAGGTTTAAGATCTTTCTGATCTCCATTTAAAACACTGCCAATTTTCTAAGAACAAAAGGGGCAATAAAACGGCTGGGCCAGGACAAGGAAAGACCTGCATAGGACAAAGTCCCTGAAAGGTCGTAGGGGGTGTGTGTGTGTGGGGGGGGGGGGTTCAATAAAGCAATAGTTCTGTTAGATCTGACAACTGCAAACTGTACACATTTGGCCATACATCAAATATTGTGGGGAAACAGAACGAGAAAATAAATAAATAAATAATAGGAAGGAAGGAAGGAAGGGAGGGAGGGAGGAAGGAAGGGAGGGAGGAAGGGAGGGAGGAAAGGAGGGAGGAAGATAGGGAGGCACAAAAATTTGCGAGTCTTATCTCGTAAACTTGTAACAAAACACCAGTGTGCTTGGGAACCCCTCGGTCCCTCTCCTTCCAGGGCAGACCCGGTGGCGGATCGCGGCTCCGTGGTGAACTCGCGGCCCAGCCCCGCACGCCGGGCAGCTGGCCTTCGGGAAGGAGGACGGGCTTCCTAACCATCCGCTGAACCGGTGACTGGGGCAGGGGGGGACCACCGCGCGAGGCCTGCGGGCTTCACAAGGGCGCTCTCCCGCCGACTCAGCCCCCGGCCCGCAGCGCAGGCGCCGGCCGCCCCGCGCCCCGCCCGCCGCCCCGGCGCCCTTACTCTGGGGCTCCATGCTCAGCTGCTCTCGGGCCCCACGGGCGGAGCCCCGGCGCCACCGCCCTCCTAACGCCTCTCCTCCGCGGCCGGCGTCGCGCGGGTTGCCGTGACAACCCGGGGCTGGGGCGGGGCCAGAAGGACGGCGAGAGGGAGGGACCAAAAGCCGAGAGGGAACGCTGGCGAGCGCGCGTCGCCGGGGACACCGAGCGAAGTGGCGGCCGGGTCGCTGGTGGGCGTCGCTGCCCCTGAGGCCTGGTCGCGTGGCTGCGCCTCCCGGCGGCGCCCGCGCCTGCCCGTCGCAGTCCCAGGCCAGGCGTCGGCCACGATCGCCCGAGCACCGGGTGACCGGCCCCCCGCGGGAAGGCGCCGGCGGCCCGGCTCCGGGATCGGCGGCCGCTGCAGGTAAAGGCGCGGCGCGCGGCGGGAGGGGCGGGCCGGGCGGCGGCGGCGGCGCACCTGTTGCCCGCCCGCGCCCGCCGTTGGCCGCCGCCCCGCCGAGCCCCGCGACGCCCCGCGGGCCCTCCTTGCGGGGCGGCCGGGCGCGGCCCTGGCGGGCGGCGGGGCGGCGGGGCGGCGCGTGCAATCCCGGGATCGGCGCGCCGCCTGCCGTGTCATCTGCCTCGCGCCGGCCGCGGGCCCTGACCTGGCGCGGCGCGGCCCGGGGCGCGCTCGTCCCGCCCCCGAGGTGCTGAATCAGCCCACAGGTGGCGCCGCAGCCGCACCCCGCACCCCGCACGCCGCACGCCGCACGGTCGGCGCTCGCGGCGCGGCGCTGGGAGGCGGCCCGGGTGTCGCGGTGGGGAAGCTGGGAGCCTCGCGGGGTAGGGAAGCTGGCCGGGAGGGGGAAGGCGAGCTGCAGGACTGACGCCGAACTAGGCTCGGCCTGGAGGGGACTGGAGGGGACTGGAGGGGGCGGCAGCTCCACCCGTTCTCACCGCCGCGGCAGACAGTGTTTGAGGGAAATGGGCTTCGGGGGTCATGAAAGTGATTATTCATCTTTGCCACTAGAGAGGTGTCTCCTTCATGGTGACAGGGTCACCAAGAAGAATCACTTTCCACTTAAATGGGGAATCATGCAAAGGTTAATTGAAGCTGGGAAACAATGGGCGTTTATTATATTTTGCTAAATTAGGCTTTCCCCCCCTCAAACTATACTGGACTTTTTCCAGATTAATTGTCCAAACAAAAAGGTTTATGGATGTTGACAAGCAGCGTGATTTATTCAGAACTCATAATCTGTAATCTAAAGTACGTGTAAGTAATAACTTCAGGTTGAATATCTCATGTCTCTCTTAACTACTTGCTCCTGACATTTAAAGAATGGGGGGAGGAGTTTGGTTTTAGACAGTATCTATGATTAGTAGTACTTCTGTATGATGTTCCTCAAGATCTAGTTTTCATAAGCAAAATCACCCAAGTGACCTCTTCACCCAAGATACAAACATACTGCTCATCAGTAATATAACAAAGTGTCAAGATTTAAAAACTGGCATTATTGATGGGGGAAAAAAAAGTAAGGTTAAATCTTCCTAAACAGTAAAGACTAGGCAGTTGTATTTTTTAAAAGAGAAAAAAAAATTTAAAAAAACAGCATTGCAGATCTCCCTGCTAAGGCAACAAGGACTCTATTTGGTAGTTACACCTGGATTTCAAGGTTGGAAAATGGGGATATGTACTAGTAATGTGTTTTGTAGTGATTTACAAGAATTATTTTTTATTTCTTGAAGTTGAATTGGAAGAAGTTTTGTTCATCAAATGAAGACAACTGTGAAAAGCAACATTTGATTTTAGGGCTTGGTGCACTTAGGAAAGAAAAGGCTGGTTAGAAGGTAGAAGGGGAAAGGAAGAGGCACTGAAATGTCCACGGCATAGACAATTTTCAGAATCAATCTTTCATTCCAGCATCTTGTACAGTGTTTGTTAATGAATAAGAGCTTCAGAGAAACAGCTTCCCATATAGAGATAAGGAAAAACAATGAAGTCCTATGGGGGGTTGTTTGTGTGAGTTTCCAAGCTCATCTCTGCATAAAATAGTTACATTGCTATTCACTTCTCTGATGCTTAACTAAATGTAGCAAACTGAAGAATGTTATCAAGGAATAACAAGGTAGCAATAAAGAAACAGTGGTAGCCTTTCTTTTTCTTACCTCTTGGTCATATCAGAACTTACAAATAACTGGTGGGAAGTTAACCTAATTTAATGTAAATAGAATGACAAAAATTATAGCAAAGGAATGTGTTAGTTCTGTCTTTATCATAAACTGAGGGAAGTTTTTCTTTGCTCTTCTGTTGGTGTTGAGAGTTTTGTTTGGTTTTGTTTTTAGTTTTTTGTTGTTGTTGTTGTTGTTGTTGTTGTTGTTGTTGTTTTTACCAGAGTGAGGATATTCTTTCTTCTCTCTGTTTTACTTTCTGAAACTCATAAGGAGTTCAGTCAAAGATGGAATACAGTGAAAATTCCACTTAGGGCACGTTTTCTCCTTGTTCCACAAACCTGTCTTGGACTGTACTCAAATTGTTGTACTCACAGAAATGCCCATCTTCTTCACCCTTTTCTACTCATCATATAATTCTGTTGCAGGAATATGTTGTCCTCCCACAACCCCCAGAGTCTTCCAGAGTACGGCCAACGCCCACTAAATGCACTTCTCTTCCCCACTGGGATGCTACATAATTTAGCACTTAGTTCTGTATTATATTATACTGTCTTGTAGATTTTTCTCTTGTTTGGTGTTTATGAATCTTGTGCCTCTGATTAGATTAAGCCTGTTTGGAGCAAGACTTTGTATTCCTTTTAACACATAGTGGGCTTTATTGTGTACTTGAGTAGGATAGTAATAGGACAAGCCTTTAGTCAAGGATGATCATTAATTTCTAGCTATGTTACCTTGGGAAAGGCAGGAACTTTTATTTGATCATCAATAACATAAAGTGGTTGTCTAACAGTCTAGCTGTAAAGAATTAAGATAAATACGATTATAGATATGAATGATAGTATTTGCATATTGTAAAGAACTTTTCTTATGTGAAAGATTATTACTGATTCAGACACAGAACAAACATATATTGAGCATTCACAGTGTATAGGTATTCCTCACTCCTGGGCTTGCTTTTTATAAAGGGTGAATAGGACATGCCCAAGTGGATTTTCTGTGAGGACAGGAGGGCTTCTGAGGCAGAGGAATAGCTTGGGCAAGAGTAGGAGGAAAAGAGAGCAGCCGTTGGCAGCAGGTCACTGTGGCTGAAGCAGAGTGTTCTTCGTGTACATTAGAACAGAGTGGGAGGAAGTGAAGCTGGAGAGGCAAATAGACCAAAAAGAATATAAGGACTGTGGGCTTTTTTTTCCTAAAGGTCAAGAGGATTTGGGTCGGTGACATGATCAGTTTGCATTTGAAAAGTATTATAGTTGGTGAAGAACCAAAATTAGAGACAGCAAAAAAATTGGGAGATTTTTTGAGTAATTTAGTGAGGAGATGATAAGAATTGAGATTGAGGTGGTGGGAATGGGGGGGACTCTGTTAGGGCCAGAATTGGCAGGTTTTAGTGATAGAGGGGCTGAAAACAAAGAGGCCAGGATGATGCCTAGTGTTTGATTTGGTGGGTTCTTCTATTTATTGAAGTCTGGAACACAAAAGAAGAAATATTCTTTTTAAGAAACAGGGTGGATGCTGAAATCAGTTTTGAATCTGAACATCTGCCAGGCCTGACATTTGCATGGGGCTCTCTGGTAGGCCAAGCCCAATCTGTGAGCCTGAATCAAAGATCTGAGACAGAGGCTATCGGATTAAGTATTCTGTCATTGAAGTTGAAATGTGAATTATTTTCTCCAGGGAAATTATATGGAATGAGAAGAGAATCAAGACTGGAACTCTGGGATACAGACATTCACACTGGAGGAGGATAGCTGGTAGTGGAAGAGCCCAAGAGACTAAAGGAGAGTAGCCAAAAAAGCAAACTGAAAATCTAGAAAGATCAATAAAAGACCCCCAACTCTTTGTGCATGCACATGCTGGAGATTGAACCCAGGGGCACTTACCCATTGAGCCACATCCCCAGCCCTTTTTAATTTTTTTTTAGTTTGAGACAGGATCTCACTAAGGCTTAAGGCCTCGCTAAGTTGCTGAGACTGACTTTGAACTTGTGATCCTCCTGCCTCAACCTCCCAAGTCGCTGGGATTACAGGCATGTGCCACCATGCCTGGCAAGAGCCCTTAGTCTTGAGGAGTTCATGTTTGATATTCCCTGATGCACATCATAGTTCATCAACTGTTTTATTAAAGTTAATATAATAGGACTATTCTTTACTTTGTTAACAGCACAGAAGTTTCCTTATGTTTATCGATTTTTCACAGACTCCATTTAGGGCAATAATTCATATAAAATGTAACTTCAGAAGTTTAAACAGTAGTGATACTGCAAACAAATACTGTGGGTTTTTTTTGTTTTGTTTTGTTTTTAAGATGGCTAAAAGTTAACTTAGTAAATGTCAGAGGTAAAATAAATATGTCCACTTCCTTAGAAAGTCTGGTGATACTCTGTTCTTTGGATCTTAGTTTGTTGTATCTTACTCATTCGTTCAAATATCTAACTAGACTAGCTTAAATAAGCCAAGTCAATATTTTAGCATATTGCATTAACTATACTTTCTTTTACTAAGAGTAAACTAGCTTTTTAAAATGTTATGCAGTCAAGAAATCATAAAATATTATTGAAAAGCACTGAATATCCCATTTATTTGAACTTCTAACTAAACCTCTGACTCACAAACTTAATTGTGGAGAGAGGCATATTATTATGATACATAAGCATTGACTGAGCTTGGGAGGTCTTTCTGTATCTGAGTCTAAATATTTTTAAAGTACTATTAGAATATAGAATTCTTCAAATTATTGAAGGAATATTGAATTAAAAATGAATAGTTTCTTTAATTTTTTTTTAGTTGTAGGTGGACACACAATATCTTTATGTCACTTTTATGTAATACTGAGGATCAAACCCAGTGCTGCCTTATGTGTGTTAGGCGAGCACTCTACCACTGAGTCACAACCCCAGCCCAAAAGTGAATAATTGTTGGAGTGTTATTTAAACACCTGAGCCAGGCTTGGTTGTGCACGCCTGTAATCCCAATGGCTTTGGAGGCTGAGGCAGGAGAATCTCAAGTTCAAAGCTGGCCTCAGCAACTTAGCAAGGTCCTGAGTAATTTGAGAAGATCCTATCTCAAAAGAAAATATAAAAAGGGATGGGAATGTGGCTCAGTGGTTAAGTACCCTTGGGTTCAATCCCTGGTAAATTCCCCTCACAAAAAAAAAAAAAAAATCTGATTACTTGAAGTCAAAATAAGGTAAATTTATTAGAGGTCTAGAAATAAGGTTTTGAAAATAACTTTTGAATTTTGACCTTATGTT